ATCACACATCCACTGCTCCGAGAGGAATACGAGGTCGAGCATGTGACCCGCTGCGTGGGTTCAGACCACTTGAAGAAGTTCAAGTGGTCTGAAAATTGTATCTGAAAAAAAATTCCAAAACCGATTCTTTAGCAGCCTTTTCTTACCTAGTCTTGTTTAGGATGCTAAAGTGCATCTCCCTTTGAATCCAAGGAATCTTCCAGCCCCTGTATAGATTGCATATGTTGAGGAGTTGTCCACTTCATAGAAGTAGACAAGAGTGATCACATTCTAAATAGTAGATACAACAATCATTCAAAAACACTTAAGATGTCCTCATTTGTAAATTTCTCTTCCATGCTGGCTACATTCACACAACCCATTTAAGCTACTTTTTGAATTAATCCATGTCCTTGTACCAAACAGATTGTGCAAATCCAGGCTGTTTGATAATATACAAATTCATCTGTTGGGTCTCATCCTAAGTGTATTGTGTGACGCTCCTTTCTTTAAAAAAACCTCTCAAGGTAAAACACCTTTGCCAGGAAATTTGATTTTGAAAGTTTACTATGACAAAAAAAATCAAATATTAGCAGCCTGGCACTTATCAAAGTATGTGGGGGAGGGAGCTTTATTTTTATCATGTTTGACAGATGGTGATATCAATAATTGGCACAATCACATGTTATGACTAAAAAAGGTGGGCCTTACCCTCTGGAAATAAACGTATGCCCTGGAAGTCCCAAACACGAAAAGTTGGTCATTCTGCTGAACCAAAAACAATCTAAGGCCTAAAACTGCCAGGGGCAAAAATAATTATGATTCACAAGTGTTTAACTACTCCTACCATTAGCTGCTGAAGACGAAGGGGAGAGCAGTATCTGCAGTCACTTTACCCTTCCTGGACATTTAATAGGTACACTTGGATGAAAAGTAGTGGTTCGCCTACAAAAAAAATGCCTTATAGATATATAACTTGCGAGGGGGAGGGGGGAAATAATCAGTGGAAGGTTTCTACCTCTACCACAGTCCAATCCCCATGGGGGGATGACATGTCCTCTGGGGAGAAGCTTGTCACAGAAGTGATGCTGGCTCGAGATTCTTCCAAAGGGGAGATCAGTTCTGTCCATTTGCCAATCTCTGCTTCGCTGTTCATGGCCCCCTTCCCACTGACAGCCCCAGGAGGTGCTTCTGTTGGGAAGAGCAGGGCTCGGCTGATTAGCTGCTGTACGACTGTAGCCTGGATGTTTCCTAGCTGAAGAGCCTGTTCTCGGGAGGTGGCACGCAAGCAACGGCTCCCATCCTCTTCATCTGGGCCAGGTGTTTCAGCACCACTTTCTACTTCATAGATAGTGGAGAGGATCTCTGGTGGACATGGATCCCAGGGGAAGGGCAAGCCAGCCCCATTGTCACCTACAAATAGGGCAAGGAGCTTGGGTTGGAAAGGATGGCCCTCAGGATTGGTAGCGGTCACAACAGACACAAAGGAAGTGACAGACAAGAACAAAAAAGAAAAGGGAAAGTGGAAAGAGACTAGATTTTAAAGGGGGGAAAAAAGGAGATGCTTCTCAGATTTGCAAGAAATACATTCCATTGCAGTTATAGTGCCAATGCTCGGCTGATGTATGTTGTGTTCCCAACTAATTCATTTTAAAATGGGTTCAGAGATTGTATTGGGGCATGTCTCCAGTACAATTTTTGCATGCTTGCGTACTGCTAGTTGGCTCCACTGGCTATGAATGGGAACTGCTAGGACTAACTTTTTGGAAGACCTATATATATATATACCGTATTTTTCAAACTATAAGACACACTTTTCCCCCCTAAAAAAGTCGGTGGAAATGTCTATGCATCTTATAGACCGAATACGGCCCTGTTTTTAGCTTCCCAACTCCCCCACCCTGCATGTCCTGTGTTTTCGCCAAAAATGGGCCATTTTCGGTGAAAACGGGATGCGTGAAGGCTTTGGAAGGCCTGCAGAGGGCTCCTGGGGGCTGGGGAGGGCAAAAACAGGATGCATGGGGGGTTCGGGAGGCCGAAAGCAGGCCAATTTTTGGCAAAAACAGGACACACAGAGGGTTTGGGAGCCCTGCAGAATGCTACTGGGGGCTGAGGAGGGCAAAAACCAAATGCGTGACGGCCAAAAACTATTTTTTTCTTGTTTTCCTCTCCAAAATCTAGGTGCGCCTTATACTCTGGTGTGTCTTACAGTCCAAAAAAAATACGGTATATATAAAATCAGCAACCCTTTACTTCCTGAATCGCTTTCCCCCCTAGGAACTGTTCACAACAATCACCTCAAACTTTCTCAGAATCAAAGAGATGCAAAGGTTCTCAGGACTGATTAAAACTTCATTTTACCAGGATCTAATTTATCTATAGACTGCTTGGTTCCAGGTTCTACCAACCAGCAATAATGAAGCAAAGAGAAGTTGAAGGACTTGAGGATTTAATTTGTTTCTCAGCTTCTATTAGCAAACCAATTAGTATGAAATTATTTATCTTATTATGAATACTAAAGTAGATATCAAAGCTGAATCATTTTTGCATCCACAAACATGCTATGACAGGAAATTACAATGTGAGTTTTCCTCAATGGCCTTCCTGCTATTCCAGTATATCTATGGCCTGAAAAGATCTAGATGCAATTTACCTCCTGTAGAATAATTGTGATCGTTTACTACATTTAATGACTGAGATTTCATTAAAGGAAATCTGCCTTGGTTAATTAGCAATGGACTTTTAAGCTAATCAACCTTTTGTTCATTCCAGGAAAGCAGGGTATTCTTAACAAATGGTTGTCTAGACTTCCTGTGATAGAAACATGATAGTTTCAATGATTTGCTTCTTATGTTCAGCTCTTTTTGTTGTGGGAATTTTTTTTCTTAACATTCAATCAAAAATCTATTAAATTTAGCCCTGATTTCTAGGGTATAGACAATAAATGTGCTTTTTATGGCTGGGTTCGTGTTCTCCTAAACTTCAATATGGCATGTTTGGTTTTGGCTTAGTATGTTAATGAATCCACCCAAGGTTAGGATATTTGTCTACTAAAAACAGAAATGTGCATGATTCCAGAGGAAAGGTAAGTTCAGACTGCCGGACAACTTGAATCAAATTAATTGTGAGCCCCATAAAACATCTAACAGCCCAAGCATTTTGTGGAACTCTTAACACTATTATGTTGCTTAGTCCCTGCTCTGCTCTCTAAATCAGAGGTCTCCAACCTTGGCAACTTTAATCCTGGAGGACTTCAACTCCCAGAATTCCCCAGCCAGCTTTGCTGAGAGTTGAATTCTGGAAGTTGAAGCCCTCCAGGCTTATAGTTGCTAAGGTTGGAGATCTCTGCTCTAAATGTTCTCGGAGCCTAATGCACCAAAAGATGCAAAATCCAATGGCATGAAGAAATTGCAAAAAAGAACCTTTACCAAAGGATAATTAAAGAAGTCATCCCCCAGGAGCTCATGGCTGCTGAGCAGGACGAGGACCTCAGGCTATTCTGATGGATCAAACTTTCCTTGATACTTATTCATATATTCTAAATAAAGTTTGCTTCTCCCACATGCCACTCATGTATTTTTCCAGTTCATATATAGCAAACCCCGTAATTTCTGTTTACATTCTAGATGCTATTTGTTATTGTCTTTCTTATACCCACAACATCTTGGTGGGACTTCAGAGACAAATCATTACAGCTATTTTATTTGGCACCCTTCTTTCCAAGTTAAAAACTGCAAGTGGTATGGACGGATAGGTGGAGAAGACAGATTCCCTGGAAAAACAATACAGGCCACATCAGATAGACAAAGTGATGCTTTATTTTACATATTGAAAGGCTAAGAAGAAGTTTATTCCCACCATTACCACCACCACTAAGAAAAGCACTAAAATATACACAACTTTTCCAAAAGAAGTCTGTAAGAAGTTGAGAGAAAAGATTTTAAGACACACAAAAACAAGAAAATGCCCATTTGGCTAGAGACATAGATGGAACAGATACACAAGGAGGAAGGAAGTCATCTCCCTTCCCTACAGGATACTATTGCACATTAACATACCACAGGTTGGCCCATCCAACACAGACAGGGCAGGATTTCTATACATTACCTGCAGCCAGACTATGAGCGGCAGGGAAAGGCTGTGACGACTCTTCTTCGTGCCCTCCAGTCTTCAAGGGCGTTGGGGTGAGGTGCAAGTGTTGCTCCCAATCCATGGGGATCTTGCCGCAGGTCTCCTTGGCACCCTCAGTGGAATGCTCTTCGCTGTCCAGGGAAGAGAGCCCAGGACTTTTGCCACAGCTGTCAGTTGAATGGAGATGGAAGGCACCGAAAACATCACAGGAAGCTGCAGAGTTGGTCGAGGCTGGGGTTTCTGTGCCAGCATCACCAGAACCTGGTTCATCTGACTCATCTACCGAATGGGGCAAATGGGACTTGGTTGGGAGAGGTGACGTCAAGAGGCATACTGTTTTGGGAAAGCCTGCTTCCTTCAGAAGATCTGCGTCCAGTTCCGCTTCCTCCTCGGAGGACACAGTGGGTTCAGTAGGTGGGTCTCCAAGGACTTCATCTGCCGGCAGGGTCTCTGCCTCATCATCTCCCTTTTCCATGTGGATGCCCAGATCAAGCTCACCAGGAAGGTCCTCCAAGGGACTCAGGAGCTGATGACAAGTTTGTTCCAGTTTCTCATCTGACTTGGACTCCACTCCAGAGCTACTGTCATACTCCCGCAGCTCTTCAGGTGTGCTAGTTTCACTGCTGCTCTTACCTGCCAGATCAGGCCCACTTAAGGTGCTGGATTTGGAAGATGAGCCCCCCTTCTCCGGGGAGAGAGCTTTCAGCCCTGTGCTACTTAAGAGCAACTCTGGCATTTCAGTCAACTCAGTTGGGTATTCTTGTAACAACTCCAAGCTCTTCAAAGGCAAGCTCTGAGGTTTGTGCATTGACAGCTGAGCAGTACCACTATTTGGTGAGAGCTCCCCTGAAGGATGAAACAAGAAGTCTGGAGTTTCATATTGGGTGGCCTCTTCTTGCTTCATGTTACTCATGCACTCTTCTGGAATGACTGCATCATCCTCAAGCTCTCCAATGGTGGGATATTCATCTAAGCTGCTAGACTGATCATCATAGCCTGCAAAGGGCTCTCCAGGCAACTGTGTAGGAATTGAGGTTGCTGCCACAAACACAGGGAGACGGGTTTGGTACTGATTAGCTGCTCCCATTATTAAATGATCTGCTACTTGGAGAACTTCCATTAGCTCTTCATTTTCAGCATGAGTGGGGACACAATGCACATCATCCATCTGCTGAGAAGGGGCTATTTTCTGTGCAAACTCACTATCTTTAGTTGCAAGATCTAGGGGGCTCTTCAGCCTTGCATTTCCTACCTCTAGAGATGCCACTTCCTTCTGCAGTTCTTCCTCTGAGTTCTCACCCAAATTCAATACCCTGTTCATCATTTCCACCAATTCAGTGCTGTCATTGTGGCCGGCTGCTAGAGATTCTGTTACAGTTTTTAAGGTAGGGTCAAACTGGCTAACTGAGAGAGAGTGCTCTGCTGAGAGACTGGACTCCTCCTGTGGCTCTGCCAGAACTACTAGCTTTATAGTTTGAGTCTCTTCAAGCAACTCAGACTCTAAGGTCAAGGATTCAGAAGAAGGAGATCGCTCAAGCATAGGAACGGACTCGTGTATTAAAATCTGGGAATCCTCAGCTGGAAAGGATGTTGTTGAAATATCATGTACATCAAGAGAAGATGTGTCAGGGCTGTGCAAGAAATGGGGCTGCTCAATAGCCACTGGAGCATCGAAATGAGATGCTTGTTTTCTGAGATGCTCAGAGTCCATGCCTCCTTCTTCATGCCATAAGGTTTCTGCTGGAAAAGTTTGGTGAGAGAGCTCCAACTGAATGGGAGGAAATATTTCACAAGGCAGTTCTGGCTCTAAATTATGTGTTTCATCACTACTACCACAACATACCTCCAGGACATCAGCAGTGGACAAGTCAGGCATCTCACTAACAGAGGATATACCGATAACTTGTGGTCCAGGGCAAACCAGAGGTGCTTCAAGGGGTGTTGGAGGCAGCCCTTCTGAAGCATTTATGTTTGTCTGTTCAGCTCTGCCTTCTTCTGAGTCTCCTGCTTCCATCTGCTCCGTCCCCACTGCTGTTATGCAAGAGTTTGCAGTCTCCTGGGAGAGTGGCTGGTCAACAGTTTCTTCTGCTGCTGCGGATTCCAAGTTTTCTAGAAACTTTGTATCCTTGTTCGAAGCACTTTCTGCTTCCTTGGTGGTTTTCTTGCCATTCCCTTCCTTGGCAATGGTCTCTTGAGGCTTCTTTTGTGGGGATACTTGCTCACGACTGGAAGGAGTATCTTTCTTCAGAAGCTTCTTGCCTGAAGGAGACAGAGGTTTGGGAGAAGAAGCAACAGCTCTTGGAAGAGTGGTTGGATGGAGACTCCCACCAGTTGCCTTGGCTGGAATTTGGGGCTTACCGGGGTCTGAAATCTTCTTTGTTGCAAGCCTGCTTTTCGTAGGTGCAGCCACGTTTCTCTCTCCGAGATTTTGCTCAGATTGTGATTTGGAGGCCGAGTGTTTGGGATGCTTTACGGTAGGTGTCATCTTCCCAGAGGATTTGGAGCTTGAAACCTTGGCCTTTACAACTGTGGCAGCTCTAGAGGCATCTGGAGTAAGAAAAGACATTTTACATATTTGTTTGGACTCGAAAAGCTTTACGCGTAATCTATGCAGAATGCCTGAAAGCCCTCCAGTAGCCTAAGGCTTGTTTCTAACTACAGCTGCCCTTCTGCTTCAAGCTTCATATTCCCTTGCAACTGAACATGACCTTCCATAGTGGCCATGCTTCAGTGGTCATTGTCCCTTTCTCAATGGGCTCACCGATGGATGTCATTTTTCGCTCCTTGTACTTGGCAGGCCCCAAGTCTGTTTTGGAATAAGCTGCACTTTTTAAAGTATTTAATGCTGAGTGTGACCTCCCTAACTTCTCCAGATGTGGAATATTAACTATTCCACATCACTTGTGGTTTTGCTAGCCAATTGTTATGGCAGTTAGAATTCAGCACGATCTCTTCGGAAGTCACACCAACAAAAGCTGCTACGTGCCCCCCTCAAAAAAGCCACAATGACTGGAAATTATGGAAGCTGAAGTAAAAAACATTGGAAAGCATTAGAGGAAAATGATGAAATGGGAACATAGTTCTAATTATCTAAGGGGTGGGAAAACCCTGCCAAGAACTTACTAGCAGAGGTGGTACTTAGCAGGTCCTGACCGGTTCTGGAGAATCAGTAACGGAGGTTTTGAGTAGTTTGGAGAACCGGTAAATATCACCTCTGACTGCCCCTGGCCCCATCTATTCTCTGCCTCCTGAATCCCAGCTGATCGGGAGGAAATGGGGATTTTGCAGTATCCTTCCCCTGCCACGCCCACCATGCCATGCCACTCCAACCAAGCCACACCCACAGAACTGGTAGTAAAAAATTTGAATCCCACCACTGCTTACTAGGTGTTCTTAGCGAAGCTACCCTTTGCCTCCCTGATACTCCATTTGCAACGTAGATAATTCTGATTGATCTTAGAGAGTTATGATCCTTGAATTGTATGTTTTGAAAACAAACATCACTGTAAAAATATTGAAATAACATTTATATAATGACCTGCCTTTAGCCTGATCACTCCCAGTTATATGTAGTATCTAATATTTCTGTGAAATAAGACCTTTCCCATTTAGACAGTGCAAAGTTCAGGTTTTGGTAAGGCAGATGGGGCATTTGTGTTAGGACCACAGGCTACATACCTCTCTGTGTTGCCAGTGGGTTTTTCTGCTGCTGCGCTGATGTGGCCTGACCAGCAGGTGGTGGTGTTGGCTTATGTTTGCCCACATTCTTATCATTAGTGGCAGTTCTGTTTAAAGAGGATGCAGTTGAATTCTTTGTTCCTGGCAACCAAGTCCTGAAACAGACAGCAAACAATTATGCACAGCAGAAAACCTTGTCCAAACCCTTAGAAAACATAGAAGGCACAATTGTCTCAGCAATCTGGTGCCTCAATACAAATGCACTTGAAGCTTTTGCCAGTTCAGAGTCTATGAGCCAAGTTTATCCTGAAAGTACCAGCTTTTATCGCTTGCAGTAAAAAGAAAAGGACTACAGTTTTTTTTAAAAAACCTTCAATTATCTCAGACATTAGATTAAGAACCAGATGGGGTGTTTCCATGTTGGTTAACAGCTTGAAATATACTCCTTCTAGCTGCCCACCTACTTCTTGCATCGGATGGCATCTCCCAGTATTCAAATAAACTGGGGCAAGGAAGAAAAAAAACACAAAATAGCAATGGAGCCATTTCCTCCAATTATTTTCAGTATCTGAACTGGAGTCATTTCAGATTCCCTGCATCTGGCATATATTCTAACCTACTCTTATCGCTTTACTGTTCACCCATCTCCTCTCAATTTTTGCTGAGGCTAAAAAATGTGAGGTTGCAGCAATATAATCAGAGTGCATATTCAATTATCTTTAATTTGGAGCAATTAGAATTTCAGAATGTTTGATCTCTGCCCAAACCTTTGTTTCCAACTACATTCTCTGAGACTGGCATTTAAGGCTGGACTGAGATTTCTCTTTCAGAAAACCACCTCACTTCTACACAACTAACACAACCCCAAATACAGTTCAGGGTGTGGTTTAATCCAGACTTTCTTAACCTGATGCCCTTTAGACGTTACCACTCCAGTTTTGCATACTGATTGAGAATTCTAAGCTATAGTCAAAAACATTTCTGAAAGACACCAAGTTGCAGGAAGGCTGAATTAGCTAATCTGGTGGGCTTCTCTAAGGAATCCAAATGTGACAAAATTACATATTCCTTCTTTATCAGAATGACTGTAATGCGTTAGAGACTATGAGGCTAAATACTGTACCACTAAGTTAGTGTTTCGCCATTTATTTCATTTATATCTCACTTCAATCCAATTAAGATCTCATACAGATATACATATATATGATTAAATCTTTCAAAGTAAAAAAATAACATAATAGAAAAACAAATATAAACAAAAGTAACTATCAATGGTGTTGGATCCTCAAACATTATACGAAAAAGCTCTGTTTTAACCTGTTTGCAGAAGGCTGTTATAGAGAGAGCTAATCGAATTCTAAGCAGGATGCCATTTCAATAGGCTGGGGCTGAGAAGCATTGTGTAAGAGAAGGAGTGGCAGAATATGGGAGCAGAATCAAAAGAGAAATCAGTCTAGATCAGTGGTTCTCAACCTGTGGGTCAGGACCCCTTTGGGGGTCGAACGGCCCTTTCACAGGGGTTGCTTAAGACCATTGGAAAACACATATTTTCAAAAAATACGGAAAGCATAAAATAATCTTATGGTTGGAAGTCACCACAACATGAGGAACTGTATTAAAGGGTCGCGGCATTAGGAAGGTTGAGACCCACTGCTCTAGAGATTCTAGGTAGCCACAAACTAAATCCAACTTCCCTTGAATCCCATTAATTTTTATCTACTCTAGGGCCAAAATCATGCTAATTTTTAGTTTAGTAGATTCCTGTGCATAGGCAGGAGCAATAAATCAGTTTAATTGGAACTTCACATGTGGTCCTGGTGTAATCCTGGTCTTCCTGCCTGACACACTGCCTCCTGACCCCAGCCCTTCTTTCTCACCCCTCTTTCAAACTACTGGCAGCCCCACTCCCCTAATAATGTTGACCACCTCCTAGATTCACATAAGCACCTCTTCCCCAGTCACAGATGCAGGTAGGACAAGGAGCCAGCCCCCAAGAGGCAGAGGCTATGCCCTGGAAAGCATCCTATCCACTTTATTGTCACAGGCAAAAAGGAGTCTCAACTAACATGGCAAGTCCACAATATAATCCAAAAGGGTGACTGTCAATTTCATTTGGTCCAGGAAGTGGCTAAGGGATAACAGAAATTCCCTCTACATATGGACGTCTGCTTTGAGGTCAAACAAGGGCTACCGTATCTATCCTTCTGCATGTGTAGGGCCTAGAATTTCCTAGGATAACTTCATGATTGCCATGGCCTCCTGGTCACAGAAGCTGAAGTCCTTCAGCACTGATGGGTAAAAGAACTCTCCATCATAAGCCTAAGAACAAATCCAGGAGCCCAGCATAGGATTTTGGTGGCAGCACAGTACCTGGTACATCAGCAACCAATCCAATCTAAATCATAGGCATTCACACCCCACTATTTGAGGAATATGAACTCAGTTTATGTATAAGGTCTCAAGACATCAACACCAGCTTTTCTTTCCAACCATGGGCCCAAAATCCACCAAGGCAGATTTAAGATAGGGTGGCACTGCTGCCTTTGCCTAACCAATCGGAGTTATTAACCAGATATGCCTGTTCATTGGTGGGTTCCGGATCCCGGTGAAACCGGTATGGTGCAGCGGGACCAGGCATCCACCACATGCACACACGCAACATGCACATGCGTACTTACTACCTGCGATGGCTCCGCAATGCTCCAGCTGCTTGACGGAGCATCACGCAGGTACTGTATGCTCTGTGTGTGTGCGCAGAAGCCCCGATTGGCTCAAATACAGGTAAGGAAGGTGGGCAGGTGGGTGGGCCCTCCGGAGCACCGTACCGGAACGGTACCTGGTGCTCCCAGCAGGCACCGGTACGCCCGTACTAGGGCATACCGGTCGTATCCTACCCCTGTGCCTGTTGGTCCACCACTAAGTCATGAAGATAACATTAGACTTAGCCTAGATCAGCAGCACTCCAGGCCAGGAACACAACAGTCCAGCTATCTGGGCTCAGGACAGTGGATCCCACCAAACAGAAGCCCTTGCACTGGAACAGCTTATTCAATACTTTTATCCACTGATTGTGGATAGTTAGAGCCCCTCATTAGATTTACAACTGCATCAATGATAGTATGCAATAGTATGTACACTTGTATACTAGACAATTAAGTGGTTTGCCTTGTTATAGAGGTGTCCCTTGGCTTTAACATCAATAAGCTGGCAGCCCTCCATTCGGCTACTAATATGATTTACTCTTACTACATTACTGATCTAAATAAGCTTGTGCACTGTTTGCGATATTCCCTTCTTTCTTTCTAATGCTTTTAATTGGGGTCATATCACATTGCTTTGATGTCAAGAGAGACAGTGGTGCAATGGGCAGAGTGCCAGAGTGGCCCTGCAATAATCCAGGCTTCTAACAAGATACAGACATGACACTCATATGCTACAAGGACTGATTTAATAGGACACGTGCTGTATGTAACCTGACCTGTCTGAAGGAATACATTATATTGATGTACAAACAATTGCTCCCACCATAATTTCACAACTATTCCCTCCACCAAGACTCTGCTTTAAACCTCAAAGTGTACTCCGCAAATTAGCCCAACCATACAGAACATTTAAAGTCCCAACTCTTTGACTGGTGCATCTGAAACTGATACCCAAAGCCGATACCTGGAAGTTTTAGTCTGTTCAGCTCTGCTGGGCTTTGTTGGAAGTGCTTTTGATGCTGATGGAAGAAGGGGAAAAAAGGCAACAGCTTTAACAACTGACAAATTGCAATGAACGCATGCAAGGGTTATCTAAAGAATGTAGGACAAGGGAGGGTTCCCTTTTCACAGGGTTAAACAGTATCACGTGGCTTTTAGAGAAACATCAGAGAAAATAGGAAGATGCAGCATCCTCAGAATTCAGTCTACCACAGTTTAATGCCGGGAATACTGCTTGCCTGGTTACAAGTTTTAAAAGTATCTAGTGATCTAGGAAAAGAGATCCACACAGTTCTTGCATTCTTCCCAACAGTTAATACTAGATGGCTCTCAATGCTTTTTTCTGAATTAAAAAAAATCGTTAACTTTGGAACATTTAGTACACTTTGAAAAACAGGACTAAGGCCATCCTCAAAAGATGCAGGAATGAACCAAGTCCAGGATTAATTACTCCATGCTGAAAAACAGGCAAAGCATACCTGTGGGCTGTGTGGTCACCTTTGGGGGTTTCCGCTGCACTTCCTTCTCCGCAGCTGTCTTTTCCGAAGTCTTCAGTCCACTTGCCTTGTCCCCTGTTGTCTTTTTCATTGTCGCTCTAGCAGACAAGTTGTCAACGTTACTACTAGTCTTGGATGCCGGCTGCTTTGGCTGCTGCATGTTGGCCTTCCGAGCAGGTCCATTTCCAAGTGTTCTGGAAGCTCCACTAGGAACCGAAGGAAGAGCAGCTACAGGGGCTGCTGGCGGCTTCTTGCTGGGAACCCTGTTTGGTGGCTGGGGGGGCTTGCTGGCCTTTTGCTTGGCAGCAGGGGGACAAGCAAGGGCCTTCTCAGTAGTAGCCCCG